TAAATTTTTTTTTGTTTTTATATTATTCAATATATTTACCAGCATGTGGAGTACACACTTGAAAAATATCCATCGTCAAAGGGTAAAATTGTTAACATTTCTATAAATCATTTTTCTAATGTTAACCTATTATTATCTCTAGTACAGACAGAAATTAATAATTCTACTATAGCATGTAACACTTAACAATGAACAAACTTTATCATCCAAGTTCTATTCATACAAAAAAGTTTAAATAATAAATTCAACAACAAAACCAATTGAAACTAAAGATATAAACTACCTTGTAGGAACATTCGAATATATTATATTAAAAGCATAAACATTTTATAAATAATCTTTTTTCTCTACAAAAACTTACGTTATAATGTTTCTGATAAATTTAAGAACTATATATAAATTATGTCATCAATTTATTGAATTCTCATACAAACTTACCTTCTCATTTGTGTATTAAAAAGTCTATTCACTTCAGGGTGATTTGGGGCCAATTCTGCAACTCTCTTTATAGTAATCTGAATGTGTTCATCATCTGTTCTCCTTTTTGAATACACTTCTGTTATCTGGAGAGGGAAGGGGGAAAAATATCCCATTTTCTATTAATAATACTTCCATTAAATTCAACTACAATTAAATTTAATAAAAAAAGACCAAAACAAGAAAAACTTGGTGTTTAAAAGAAACAATTTCCTTATAAAATCATTTTTAAAAATGTTATATTTGAAGCAATAAATGTGACTATCAGGAATGAATATATATAAAGACAGCAATAGAATTATTTTACAAACAGTGCTTTAGTAAGGATAACATTTTCAATCTCTAAATTACTAAAAAGAAAAAAATTTAAAAATAAAACTTAGAAAAATATAATCTCAGATTATACACAAAAGACACCTAATTTACCAGATAAACAACTAGCCAATTAATCCAAAAACACTAAGGTGTTATTTGTTGTTCTTTCAATATGGATTCAATTTATGTATCATCCTAGCTTTGTGATATACCAGTTTGAGAACACTTCAGGCTCATTCACATTAGTTAAGTTACTTAAATTCAAGTGACCTGAAATTAAATAAGTTGAAACCACTTGACCAATGTGAACCTGTTATTTACTTGACTTGAAATACTCTTTCAAAGTTGGTTTCAAATTTCAAATGCAGTTGAGATTTTTTAACTTTTTACTTGCTTTGAATAACAACTTGAATAATGTAAACTATTCTCGTTTAATGCTAGTCGAAGACAGCCCCGTTTTGATTTTGAAAAGTGAACTTGTATTGTTATTACCATCACAACAACACACACAAGTAATAAGAGTAATAATTAGTCGAGAAATGGAAAGGTAAGTAAATTTCTTCAACTTTACAAAAAGTACAATGTTTTATGAAACCATCATCCATCAACAACTTTTAATTCCAATTTGTCATAATTTTGCTCTAATACAATACTCAAGTAAATGATATGATTCAGATTGCCTGGAAACTCGTTCAACATTTTAAACAGATTATGTATTAACGATAATAAATGGCTGAAATAACAATAGGTAAAAACACAGATATTGTGTTTTTTGAAACATGACACAGATACTGTAGATATGTTAGGCTGTCACCACTCATTATATAACAATGTTATTTTCAGTTTCACTGTTGCTGATATTAGTTTTCTAAAATATGTTGATTTTTTCTGTTTATTACTAACAATCATACTTACCTCTACAAATTGCTCTACAGACATTCTTAGAGGATTTTTATATGCTTCTCTATCCTCTGAAGCCAATGCCTTTTAACAGAGTTTTTTATGCACCAAGGCCATCTCTTCTGCTAATCCACTTTCTCACCAGAAAAGCATTCGATAGTTGGCTGCTACACATTCTACTTATGTGCAAAATACATCCATCACTCATTGCATTCTTCCAAAACACTATGCAGCACTGAAGAACAATACATCTCAGGGTTAGTAACACTTCCATACAAACACATGAGATATTCATTAGGCGAAAAAATTTTCAAGGAGATTCCTTCAGTCCTCTCTGGTTCTGCCTAGCCCTGAATTCATTATCCAACATGTTAAACAACACGCATTACGGCTACAATATCAGACATGGAAAAACAACACAGTTGAAAACTGTGTTGTTTTTCCATGTCTGTTGTACAACTGTGTTGTTTTTCAACACAACACAGTTGTATATCCTTAAAACCTTAGATAATACATATGTATAACAAATTAGGCCTATATTATTTTACAATTTTTCACATTTACTCGATTATTACGCCATAATTTTAATATCGTTTCCATCTCGGGGATAATACTGCGACGTTTACGAATAATGCTCGAATTTAAAGATTGAGCATTTTTCGCAGCTTGGAGAATTTTTTCTTTGCCTTTTATAATTGTTCTGACCGTCGATTCCGGTAGATCAAACTTCTTTGCCAATTCACAAATTTTAATTTTTGTATCGAACTCTTTATTAATGGGTACGTTCGTAAAGTCAAACGAGGTAAACGCGTTAGTAACGAATCGTTCGAAAAGTCTAACGAAATAGGAATAACGATGACGTCATTCTCGTTTAACTCGTTCGACTTTACGAACATACCCAATGTTAACTTTACATTTCAAAGATAAAGTTTTTCTTTTCTTGTTTGATGCAGAAGAATTAGTTCTACTTCGTTTGGATGACATATTAGAGTCTCTCGAGTTTCCGTAGATATAACGAACATAGAAATAAATAACACGAGATAAATTGTAGCTATGTGTGGATTCCGCGCGACACATCCGAACACGTAAGCCCAAGAATAGTGTGGGGGAGTGAGTAATCGAGGGTTGCGTGGCGCTCAAACAAAAGACGAATCGACGAGATTTGCAAATCGCGTAACTCCGGGTTCGCGTAAGTCGGGGTAGCGTAAGTCGAAATATTACTGTATCTATTATATTATTATGGATATAACATAATGTGTGCCCGAGGCTTCGAGTGTAATGAGTAAATATTAATTGCATTCAATTCCCATTTGTTTCTTCGCATCCAACAAACGATTAACGTACCCGAACCCGGGCGTGTGTTAGATATTAAGAAAATAATTCAGACTGGTGTTAATTTTAAAATTAATATCGTCCGGAAAGATGTACTTTAAAGATAAATAAGTTAGTGGCGTTTAATCGTATTACTTTACTTCCGTAAGTAGGCCATCGAATGTATGTTTTAAAGGTGTATTTGTTCTACAAAAATTTTTTTAAATTACAGAAAAATCACACTAAAAATTACGAATTGTTGAAAAAATTGCGTATCTTTTAAAATATAAAAATTAAATTGGATATTTTGTTTTTATTTTTATATCACCTTATTTTATTATTTATTATTTATATTAATATGGCTTCAATCTATTTATTATAGTTATTTTGTATATTGATTGGTTAATTTACTTTACATTATAATTTTGAATTTGTAAGTTCGAAAGTTCCATTTAACAGAATTTTCAAAAGTTGTTCGATAGCAAATCACCTGATGATGGCCTATTACATTAGGCTGAAAACGTTTGTGTTTTAATAAATATATCTCAGCGTTATAAGATGTTGAGTGTTTTATTTAAAAATTAAAAGACTGGTTTCGTTTCGCTTCTTATATCGACATACATAAAAAGAATAAGCATTATCGTCATCTTATCGAGAAGAGACTTTATACATTCATTATATAGCCTACATTACGCGTAAGGTCTAGAGGGGAGCCACGGACTTTTCCCTGTGCCTGGAGAAAATTTAGACATCCATAGTGTTTTCTATAAATTGATGTTATTTTTACCGCTTCTTTTTATTTATGAAACGTTATTGTTCGAAAATCAAAGTTAAAGTGGCAAAATGGAACAACTCTGGGCATTTGTTAGAGAAGCTATAGTATAAACTTACACCTATTCCTTTTTATGTACAATCATTGATTTTTTTACGTAGGAAAAATGCTCATTTATTTGGCTAAACAAACGTTTCCAACCCATTTCACGGGCCATCATCGGGTTAAAGACGTTCGAATGATTCGAATGTCTTTAACTCGATTCGAACGTCTATAACCCGATGATGGCCCTTGGAATGGGTTGAAAACGTTTCTTTACCCGAATAAATGAGGTTTCTCCGTATTAATTAACCCCTTAATGCTTGCTGGAAATGTTTATTTACACAAACACGAGCATTTTCAACCTAATACAGCGGGTCATCGTCGATACAGAACACTTTTAAAAAATGGAACATCTCGACGTTCAATTTAATAAAAAAAAAGTGAATAATTAAATAATAAAAATAACAAATAATACATAAATAATACCGAGAGCCGTTAAAATAATATAAACGTAACATTTATGCTTCGTATATTATAATGGAAGATGCAAACTATGAGTTTCCATTTTCTCTTTCACGCTGAATTTCCTTACAGAATGACATTAACGCGACTATCCTCGGAATTTTACTTTATATTAATTAATTAATTAAATAAAAATACAGGAAAAGGCGCTTACCAAAGAACTTCTAGAATTTCAAGGAACAGATTTCGAGAAATCGAACGTTTTTTTGAAATCATTCGACGGATTCATCTGATTGGCTAAGAGTCGTGGTGGCGTATTCGATACTCGTTTTTAATGATATATCTAAAATATTTTTTTTTCGATTTATTCTGGAAATCTGACTAATAATTTAATTTTTAAGACGATAATTTTATGACCCGACTAGTAACAAAGCGATTACAAATACAGTAAAATCTGCTTAAGCTTAAGCACTTTGAGCTGGTCCCGTTGCAAAATACAGTAATACATTTTGCAATGGATATCTGCGTACAGTGACCCGTCTATTGTGAGCATTGGTCGTGTTCCGAGGTAAGAAATCATCTTGGGTGAAGTGACCATTAAAAACAAAACCATTTTAAGTCCAGTTCGTAGTGATCATATTACAAATATTCAAAACCGTTGTACTTTATAGGAAATTTAGTTAAAATGACTGTAGATATGGTGTTTAAAGTTTATGGTGTGTTCTTTGCTAATTTAACAATTAGCAAAGAACACACGAAGTTTCTTTTACTCAACTTATAAAATAAAAAAAGAAACTTCGTGTGTTCTTTGCTAATTGTTAAATTTCTTTGAGAGAATTTTTAATTCGCTCCTTTTTTCAATAAATCATTCGCTGATCCAAATTAACTTTTAGAACGACCAACAAAGGATACAAAGAGCTAAATCTTCGGCAGAAGTGAGAACTGATCCACTTTTTGGAACGTCATAGCGGGAGGAGAATAGAGAGGTTGCAGCCGACGTTTTCAACGCAAAAACGTGTACGTCGGACGTTCAGCGTCGCCTTCCTGCGAGCCTAGAATTTTGACAATGGTGTTTAGAACGTCGAGCACGATTCTACTGACGTTCCAAACGCCATTGTCAAACTTCTAGGCTCGCAGGAAGGCGGCGCTGAACGTCCGACGTACACGTTTTCGCGTTGAAAACGTCGGCCGCAACCTCTCTAATATCAAAGAACAAGCGCGAGTATCTGGATTGGTTTTGAATTGAGTCCGATGATACGAGCGGAAAGAAGAGGGCGATCGAATTTGATGACAAATTTCTTAACTGAAATGAGGATATTAGACAAAAACACGGACGATTTTTATTGATTGTGATGGTGGTGATGAGACCACCGAAAGTAGCTTTTGGAAGTGTCCTAAAACGAGTCAATGAGGGGAAGAACCAAACTAGTGAAGATAAAGGAGGGCTGTATCGTAACAAAGAAGAAAAGCCTTTGCCTTCGTCTCGCAATGAAGTCTGATATGCTGAAGGAAATAGAGAGGTTGTGGCGCGAGTTCAAACGTTAAACTTGTACGGCAAGCGGAAGTACACGTTTGGCGTTTCGAGTCCAAGTAAAATTCGCTGAGGCGCCCGTTCGTAATATCACGTGACTTGTCCCAGACTACTAGTGTTTAATAACACTAAATAATTATTTTTTTACTATAATTAGCGTCGCGTTTCCTCCGAGAAACATTAGGAAAGTTCCAATGCGTTTTCTTGTTATTACGATATACTTGTGTCGGGAGATGTAGTGGCTGTAAATCCCTATGCGTATAAAAATCCGAAAGGTGCTTGAAAAAGTATATCTGAAATTTTACAGACGTATTACACCGTCGACGGTACAAGATGCGGGAAACAACTTTACATCTACAGTATTATGACAAGGTATGTGAATGCCATCTTGCTTCCCAGATATATTGTCTGTTACAAAAGTATAAGAACACCACAAATTTCTGATTTTTCAAAATTTATTAAATTTTTTATTAGAAAACAGTTTTATACGTTTTAAGACAATTACAAAAATATCATTTTCAAGCTTCTTATTTTTTAATAATAATATAATAGAAGTTATCACTCGTTACTTGTTACCAAAGTATAGGTACACTTTCTAAAATTACATAAAAATAAATTTTAAATATATTTTAAATACTTTTAATATTTGGTTTCACCCCTTTGGCTACAATTATTTGAAACAATTCTGTTAGCGTGGAGTTTATTAGTCTACTTTTTTAATTAATTGTTCATTCTTAATTTCATCCCACGTACCCATTATTGCAATTTTCAATTGATTTACAGATTCGTATTGTTTCCCATTTTGATAAACAATGGCTGCTAAAATCACCATAAATTTTCATGGAATCTAAATCTGGACAACAGGAAGGCCAGCCAGCTTTCTGAAAATCAATTACAACCTGCGCATTGCCCGAACAGACGTGCACTTGAACAAAAAACGCCGAGTTTTATATCAGACCATGCTCTATGACATATTACTAGTATGATAACAGCACTGCTGCAAAAATGGCGTTGGAGCTTTTGAGCATCCATTGTGTTCATCATAGAAATCCTTTCTGTGATTTCGGTTTATTCGGGAACTAAAACATACTTTACGCGGTGAATGAATTCTATTGATAGATGTCAGTCTTGCTTACAGTAGAAATTTTCAAGCCAGTTGTGGCAAAGCTATGACCCGTGGGTCAGACACGAACCCACTCTGGCTTTTTAAATTATCCACGCGTTGATCACCAAGTGAACTGCTGTATCAATCAACGAGAGCTCCATCAGGATAACCCCTTCCATCACCAGGTGTTTATTCAACTCGCGCTTGTTATGTGAACTCTCTCTCTCTCTCTCTCTCCCGCGACAAAAATTAGAATTTCTGCATCATCTCCAATGTATTTTTGATTAAATTCTTTTTAAGTGCTGATTGGAGTCAAGTCACTTCCATATGCTGTCTCTCAATCGGCTGACATTACGAATCCGAATGTGCATAGATGGGACCGCAACGTTGAGAAATTTCGAAATTCGATAGGTTAATTTCACGGAAAATGGATCATGGACGATCTCGCTGTCGTGACCGGCGAAGTTTGAAAGATCGCGCTCAAAACCAGCAATACGAAAGTAGATTGAAGAATGAGAATGAGTTCTGCCTCGAACGTCAAAGTGATTCCGCTTAGTAGTAAATCTCCGAGACATAGTCTTGTCCCAAATACGGCCTTGCCTATTTACTTTTTTTTTCATTATTAAAGTTTCACATCTACATATGTATGTATGCCAAGAACAGAAGAAGGTAGTATTATGAAATTTCATTTTCATTGTAGTGAATTGTAAACAAAGTATCATCAATAATGTACACTCACATTTTTTTGTGGGAAATGTACAAGTATCTATTGAACTAAATGTTTCTAATTGGATTTTTTGCTAGCGTAACAATAAGTATTGTTTTTGAAGGTTTCTGTACAAAAAGTCAGAAAAAATCAAGTGGTAATATGGAACCTTACTGTATGTTTTCAAAAAAATGCTTTAATGTATCCAAAAACAAATAGGAAAGTACAAAGAATGTTAAATAATTACAAAATCATTTTCTCCAATGTATTTTATCGAAAAAATACTTTTATAATAAAAACATGACCTCCATCAACAATATACATTCCAGCAGCTCTTTTTCGATAATCTCGGAAAGAATTGGCTTTGTACCTAGTGTCTTTTTCATAAATTGCTCCGGACCAATGTCTGCTTGCAAATAGAGTTTGGAGGAGTTGGGTTCACAGAGGAGTTGGGTTCCATATTAAAAGCACCAATGTAATCGCCATCTTGAATTAACTTATATCTGTCAAGACGAAACTTTAGAAAACGTGAACATCACACAGATTAACATGTACCCCAAAGTCTCTGAAACGAAATACATGCACCAGTGAATCTACAACTATACGATTTGTATTTTTAAAAAAAGTTAAATTCACTTAGCATTCAAAACTTTTGAATTTTGAAAAAACACAAATTTGCTGATTCATTATGGACAACCTTTAAACTGAAGTGAAACGGGTTTTCCCCTTGCTACGAATGTCTGCCTGGTGCAGTTCAGCCACAATCCGCTACAGTTCGCCTTTATTATCAGTTCGAAATCGAGTGGTTCCATAATACCAACTTTTCCTCTACATTAATAAGAAATTTCGTCTCAAATTATTGTATTGTAAATATAAATAATTTTAGTTGTAGCCCTACTATGTCGGCAGTTAAAAAAATAATAACGAACGATACAAGTTCCAAACCATATCAAACAGAATGGTTTTATAAATATGGTGTGATTGTAAAGAATAAAACGAGTTTGTGTGTAATTTGTAACGAGAAAGTCAGTTCATGTGCATACAATGTAAAAAACATTTTGAAAAGTTTTATTATAAATCTTGGCCATTCAACAGATGAGGAAACAACATATTTTTTACAAAAGAAAAAAGAGAATCCAGTGTTTTAAAAAATTTTTCATTCCAAAACTTAACATTACAGCTGCTAACTTTCAAGTTTGCCATTGCATTGCTCGCCACGGAAAACCTCTTTTAGAAGGAGAGTTTGTGAAACAAACATTTTTAGTATGTGGTGCTACTTTGTTTGCAGATTTTAATATATTACAAATTAAAATAAACTTAATTTTTGAATAAAAATTAATTAAATCTCAATAATAATGATAAAGGACGCTTTTAGCCCACGACTTTAATTTAGATAGAGTAAGATAACGTAATAAATAAGATTCTAACAATTTGAAGGGTTTATCACACAAGGCCGACCGAAAAATAGACCAGATCCTTTAGAAAAAGCCAACTGCCATAAAATCCATAAGACACTTTGAAGCCAACTAACTACCTTGTTACAAATGATGTCAATATATTTAGAATTAATTTTAAATTCACTGTCCTACGTCAAGAGTCTAGTTTAGGTTAAACAATCGATAAAATGGCTGTTAAGTAATAGTTTTTTTGAATTTCAATGTAAATATTACTGACAATTAGAAGGTATACGAATGGGATCCTGCATAGGTCCTAGTTTAGCCGAGTTGTGAATGATCATAATTAATAAAGAAATCAATAAAACCCGAAATATAATAAGTTTTCAAAAATATGTAAATGACTGTTTTATCGTCTATGATAAAAGCATACTAGATATTGACTGCTTCGTTAAGGAAATTAATTTAATAAATAAAAATGCTTACTTTTACGGTTAAAAAGTAATAGATAATAGTCTGAATTAATTAGAACTTACTA